CTGCATAGTCGTAGCTGCCCAAACAAACCATAAATATTCAAAAAGCATATATATATATATATATATATATATATATATGCTAACATATGCTGATGGCTGAACACACTCCCTAGGTTCCCTAGTTTATGAAGTAGACTCCAACCATCACACTACTGTCACAGTTGGTATGATGTTCCTCTTCTGAAATGCTGTTAGTTTTACTCCAGATGGAACAAGATGCACACTTTTCCAAAAAGTTCCACTATTGTGTCATCAGTGCACAGAATATATCCCCAAAGGTCTTGGGGATCATCAAGTTACTTTTCGGTGACTTGACGCTATGACCTTTTGGTCCATAGCGTTGGCCTTGGAACCCTCCAATCAATGCCACTCTTACTCTGTCACTTTCTCGTTGAAGAATTGTCATCATTGATCTTAGGTGGAGCAAATGATTTCTCTAGTTCTTAAGATCTTGTTCATCTTTCCTTTATAAATTCCTGAATGAGTGGTTCGTCAGGAATTGTGTCAGAAGGTGGCATTTGCCTATTAACCCCATTTGCGTTTTTTTTTTATTTTTTTTTTCCTGGCTAACCTTCAGATCTGTTGGCAGGTGCTTAGAGGACACTATGACTCAGTATCTGTAACAGTACGGGTTATGAAAGTTATGTAGCTCTTTCAATTAAACCATTAAAAATCTGCTTTTTTGTATTCTCCGAGTCTAATCTTTGATATTAAGTTTGTCTGAAGATCTGAAACATTAGGTGTGAGAAAAAAAAACGGAAGAAGTCTGTAAAGGTGCAAATACTTTTTCACAGCTTTGTAAGTGTAAAGTGAGTCAATATCCATGTCAGAACTGCAGAAGTACCATCACAACAATGAGGGAAATTGTTGAGTAATTCTCCATTAATTTGTGTACTACTTTCATTCCATTATTTTTAAAAACTGTAGCTTGCTGACATTTAACTTTAACTTCTGACATATACAAAACTTGGCATTTAAAAAAAAAAAACTTCAACTTTATTGAGTAATGCCAAGGAAAATTGACTTAAGCATAATATTAAGGCTTCTCCTCTGTTAGCTGAGCTAAACTATCCACTTTATGAGCCTTGAGGACCTCAAGCCATTCCTTTCCTAAGCAGAGCCATATCCTTTGAAACACTCATTGCAGGACCACTTTGTCTTTTCACTATTATACCATTGTGTTTCAGTGCTGTGCCGTATTTCACAACGTTATGTTAATTAAAGTTATTTCTGAGCACAAAGGTCCTTCTGATTCCAGCTGCTGCAAAGGTTACCACTGGTGTTATGAGTCAGGCTTTGCTTGATCTCTGAAATTCTAATCAACTCGGTTTCAGTATCAGTCGCTCGTATTGTGCTGCTGTCGTCAGACAAGCCGGCAGGGTGGATGACGAAGCTGGCAAGATTTCAGAAGAATCAGTTTCAGTTGCACTGCGCATTGCATTTGTGTGCCGCAGATGTTAGTTTCTGCAAAGTGGTACGGAAAACCGTATCGTCAACGACGGTAGTTCAGGGAAGCTCGAGCTGAAGATGATGATCATACTAGCAAAAGTGACCTAGCAAAAAAAACAAAACAAAAAAACCCCCCTCATCTCTCTGATCTTCAGATGACAGAGCAGAGGAAGCAGAAGCAGCGGATTGGCCTGCTGGGACACCCTCAGCACTTGAACGTCAACCCCCAGCAGCCTGCGTAGGGTCCGACTGCCGACGGAGTCCGGGGAGCCGCTCGGTGTCTGGAAAGGAAGCCGTCGGGTCCTGGAACCAAGGTTTCACGATAATGTATGCAGCAGTGAGTGTGAAAGTACCTTACAAACGGTAGGGAAACGTTGTAACATAGATAGCTATAAGGCGATTTGTAGCTCTACCCCACGCAAAGTGTTACTCCAGACAGTAACACACACCCACCTCATTCTGTTCTGTTCAATCTGTGCCAAATGTTTTTTTTTTCTTTTTTTTTCTTTTTTTCTGAAGAAAGAATTTGGATTTCTCAACAAACGGCCCTTAAAGGTTTAATTGGAAACATGATAGAATTGTTGTTGGGTTTTTTTATTTATTTAAAAAAAATTTTGTATTTATACTCCTAACACACTGAGCAGTATTTATTGTTATTCTTTTGTACGTTGTGCAATATATTAACTTAAATATGCAACCAAATGGTGTGTAGATTTAAGTTTTAAAACTTAATTTAAATCCACCTGGGAATGGTTTAGCCTGTTCTTTGTCTCTAGATAAATAAGCTGTTATTCATCTGTATTTACACATTAACTCAGATATAATAATAATAATAATAATAAGTTGGGCTTCATAATATTACTTTTCTTTTAGTTTGTCAAAATGTGCATACAGTTTTGAGTGGCTTCTACACTCGGTAGATAGGATATTGTGTGAGAGCAATATAAACAAATAGATTACTTCCATTATGTGGTCAAATATTTGTGTTGTTATTTTATGGGGGAGTAGCTTTATGATTTAACTGGGTTACAAACAGCCATCTAAAACGTGTGTATGCTGTTAGAGGGCTGCTCAGGAGTCATGTAGTTTCTACAGTAATAATTACCACTGGTGTACTCTGACATGTGGCTGCTGCTTCTGCGGGAACTGATCTTTTAGATTGAAGTTTTTAGTTCTTTCCATGTTAGGAATGTACCTTTTGTTTTCGACGAGGGACGACTTTGTGTATATAAAGTTTGTTGCTTTAACTTTGCTTTTGTATAGAAAATTAAGGTGGACAAAAAAATATCACTGTCACAAAATGTTAAGGGTAAACAAAGCAAAACATTGTCAATTTGTACATAGAGGTAGAATTATTTATTAAAATTGTAATTATCCTTTAATTGTGCTGTCTTTTTTTCGTCTCATGTACAGATTGTTGAATGCAACAATTTGTGATATTTTTTCTTTGGGGGGTTGGGAGGTGACGTATTGATAAATTTTTGTTACTGGTCACCTTAGTAGACATTTAAAAAATTTAAAGTGTGCATATCACCATACTTTAAAGGTAATATATAGAATATGGTTATACAAAATATATGAATGACCACCAGTTGTCAATTTGCATCTAGTTGGGACTCATATTGTAAATATGTCATTGTAAGTATACAGATATAAACAATAATTTCTGGAGGGGGGGGGGGGGTATTTTTGTCTCACATCATGAACTAAACACACAGACTACAGGGTAAATATTCAGTTATTTTGAGCATATGCTTTAATATGTTATATATCAATCATAGCTATATTATGAGCTAGAAGCACTTAAAAAAACCTTCTAAATTAAGTAGGTATTTATTCCACATTTTAAGTCTAAAAATCAGATTAGCATTAAATGCTACTTTATTATAGATGTAGCATGTATAGATGTTTATTATATGTCGTCGTAGGAGCAAAAAAATGCTTACATTTTTTAAGTATATATAGTGTTCTTAGTGAATGAGTAGTAAAATTCACTATTTAGTGAGGTAAAATGTGAGCCTGCGTTGCCCTGGTAATATTAACAAAAGCTTGAATATATCCGTCTGAAACATTTCCTGCCCTCCTCTGACGATTATCAGAAAAAGCTGCTGAATTTGTTGCCCATTTCCCGCTCCCCCGCTTGCAACTCGGCTGACTCCAATGTTTTGAAGCCCTTTCTAAATATAGCCAGTCTGCTTCGGGATGTCGGCGAGTGGAACCGACTGACCAGTCGGCCACTCTCGGTTTTCTGCGAGCCTGACGTCAGCGGCAAGGGATCCTGTGTGCCTAGTCCATGAGGAGCTCAACGTGACGGGCTGATTTAATCAACACAGCGGCGGCTCTGAAAAAAAAAAAAGGAAAAAACGCAGCAACAACAAACTGCAGCCACCGTGTCATCCTGCCGCAGGTGCACGTGCCAAGCAACAATCGGGTACGGTATGAAATTACACGCGTGACACTTTGGTTGTCTCCAGAAAAACCAAAGTGATTTCTGTGGTAGCCACCATATCATTAAAAAGCGTTCCAGTCTCATAGCACTTTCTGCCACTAAAATGTTTATTTTATATTATTATTTTTACATAAATCCCTATTTTATGAAAAATAGTTAAGTTATTTTGTGCTTATTATATTTAACTTAGACTGCGTTTTTTCGCAACAATAAAACGATTAACGTTGTACTTTGCTTACTTTGTCTGTTTCTGTTGTACACAGCACAATAAGCTCACGAGCCCATCACCACGCTGATAATGGTGCTATATTTATAATAACCCGCTGTTCTTTAGTTAGCTGTGCATCTGGTGAGGCTGCATTGGCTTTATGTCCTAACCCCATGTCTGAACGTGTAACATAAACAGCGGCATATCCGCAATTTTGGGGGTAATGTTTCACCTCATGTCGGCGGGGGAACTGTTGGTCTACTTTCTGTTGATGTAAACACGCCGAGGCTCTGAGAGAGAGAGATAGAAAAAAAAAAACAGAGAAAGAAAAAGCTCAGCCGCGCAGCTCAGCCGGAGGAGCATGGTGCTCCACGGGACTCAGCCCGGAGTACTACTGAAAGAGGTGGGGCTATAGCAATCCGTTTTACATTTAATGAAGGCGGAAGAGTTGCATTTTATTTTTGTAATGTATTTTTCAAATATTTTGTTAAATTACTGGTAAACAATGTCTGGCTTTAAAATTTCTACACCTCAACTTGAGGATTTTAATATATCTTAACTAATATGATAAAATTGTATTTTGTACCAGAAATGATGCAATATTGTATGGCATGCATTTTAATTTTGACTTGGAGATATCTTATCTAAAATTGCAAATAGTGAATGGCCATTGTAAAATCTGCATGAGCATTCTCTCATTATTGTTTTGTCAAAAAATAATATTTCTAACTCTGGATATAAAAGTTAAAAATATTTTTTTCTTGATAAAAAAAAAAAAAAAAAAAAAAACAATGAGCAGTGACATAATTTGTAAGCATTGCAGTATCTAGACTAGCTAACTGTCAACCATTGAACCATTATTGATGATAAGGAAACAGAGACGACATTTGTGCAACTCTTGTTTAAAATCCAAAGGGTCAGACCTGAACATAACTCTACTCTGAACATAGATAATTTAAAGCGAATATTGATTATGCTAAAACAGGAAGTATTCTCATTCTCTTAAGAAAAAAAACAACACACAATACAAACTTGTTAGATCTCGACTTTAGCATTCAGCACTGATTAGAGATTATTTAAGACAGTTTGTGGACCATTTTATTCGTGAAAAGACAAAAAATATAAATATTTAAAATCTCATCTGCTGCTCGTGAACTCGGTACATTGTATCTAACTGAACATTATTACCAACTACAAATGGGTGCGTCTGTTGATTAAATATAAAAATGGCTTGCCATCCCCGGCCCCTCCTGGCGGCACGAAGCGGGGAGGGGGTGGGGGTTGCTGGGAGGGTGAGGAGTTGAAATCGCCGTCCAACACGTGAGGCTCATGTGACGGAGGAGAGGCAGTTTCTCTCTCAGGGAGAGAGAGAGACGTGCCTGCAGTCACAGGGTTTATTTAACACGTAGTCACCAACCCACCCAGCTCTCACACATCGCGCGGGGCGTGGAGCTTTCCTCGGCATACTAACGAGCCCCGACCTTAGAGTGACAGCACTCTAAACTGCGACCAGCTTCAGCCTACAGCAGGATCACACCGGAGGAGGCGTGCTACTTCTTTTTCGTTTTTTGTTATTCTTGACTTTTTTCGCCCTCTCTTTCTATTTCTTTCTTTTTTCTTTTTTTTTTTTTGTTAAGGAGCGAGCGCTTTTCAGGTTATTTTTTTCGCCCGTCAATAAAGCGACATGGAGCGGATTACAAGTGCGCAACCACCTCCTTATGTTCCGAAACACGCATCAATGGATATACCTGACATGCGCCGGTAAATATACGATGCGTTTTAAAAACCTAAACCTTCTGTTGTGCTCTATGAAACCCTTAAATCTCAAATATAATTTTAATTTCTTTCCTTTTACAGACTAGAATATCCTATTTATATGTGCAAAAGCAGGAGGGGTATGAAGGGCAGGGATGAATGCAAGGTAAATTTCATTTCAAAATGGAAAAAAATTATAATAATTTATGCATTTATTCAGTTTGATTTCTGGATCTTAAATGTTACTGACAACATTTTAACTTTGTCCAGGAGACTTACAAGTTGCCACACAGACTGATCGAAAAGAAAAGACGGGACAGAATAAATGAATGCATTGCCCAGTTGAAGGACCTGTTGCCAGAACATCTTAAGCTTACAGTGAGTAATGTATTTTTTTTAGTCTGAGAGACTGAAATACAATTGGTTGCGTCAAATGTTGGTTAAATTTTTTTTTTTGTCTTTTTTCAAAAGCTGTAGAATGAGCTACATTTAAAAATTATGTTTTAAAATTTTAACTACAGTTTCAATTCCTGATTAGCATTTTGTAGAGTTTAATATTTAATCTTGTAAAGAATCATCCTTGTGTGCATAGTTTGCGTAGTTTCCCCCCAGTGTTGGCCGCTAGCCCTCTGTTCAGCTGCAGAATGTGTTACATAAGGAAGATCAACATGCTTATCGAAGGTCTTCCTGTTTTAGACGCTGGGTCATCTGGAGAAAGCCGTGGTGCTGGAACTCACGCTGAAGCATGTGAAAACTCTGAGCGCCGTCCTGGAGCAGCAACAGCAGAAAATAGTGGCGCTCCAGAAAGACCTGCAGATCGGTAAGTTGGATTTCTAGTGGCCATGCCTTCAGTTGGGATCATTAACAAGTAGCTTCTCTTTGAGAATCTGAAGGACAAGTGTGTTTTTTTAAAAGCTAAGGTCTTAAAGAAATTGAGTTTCATTTTGATTGTGTTCATTCAGGTGATAACGTGGGAGATGGTGCTGAGACCAGTGAGGAAATGTTCCGCTCTGGCTTTCACCTCTGTGCCAGAGAAGTCCTCCATTATCTGGCGAGTCAAGAGACCAGCAGGGATCTGACCCCCTCACACGTCATCAGTCACATCCAGAAGGTGGCGGCTGAAGTTCTCCACAATGAAAGCAGCCCTCAACCCAACAGGTCCTCCGCCCGAGAGTCTGACGAGGCAAAGAGGCCAGTCAGGCAGCCGTCGGCGTTGCCCGAGGCCCCGGCTAGGAACTGCGTCCCGGTCATCCAACGGACTTGCCACCATGGGACGGGGGAGCAGAGTGGCAGTGATACGGACACTGACAGCGGCTACGGGGGAGAACACGACAAGTCTAAAGCCCAGTGGTCGGAAAACAATGAGAGGGAGGGTGAGGCAAAGCCTCCCGCGTCGGAGCGGATTGTCGGTGTCGTCAAGCAGGAAGGCGACCAGCCCCGGGCAAAGAGGTTAAGAGTGGACTCGGAGGATGAGATGCTCTCCTTTCACCCAGCGGGAGCTCCTGGCAGTTATGTAAACGTCTCCCCCAACCAGCCCCCTTTTTGCCTCCCTTTCTACCTCATCCCCCCATCAACAGCGGCAGCCGCGGCATATCTCCCGATGCTGGAAAAATGTTGGTACCCTGGCGGCATGCCCATCATGTACCCAGGCCTGCCCTCGGAGCCGTTGCCCTCGTCTCTGTTGATGTCTCCAAGGGCGGGGTCTCCGGTGGCCTACCGCATCCCAATGGATTCCCCCACTCTCCACAAAGCTTTAAGGCAGGTCTCTCCTTTGAACTTGGAAACCAAAGACTGAGCAGACGGTTCACCCATCAGCTTTGCCCCACTGAATGTTGAACCAGAGGGTACAGTGTTGACCCTCCTTGGTAACTTGTCCCCTCAGAGCAGAACCCTTTAAGGTCAACACTGTCAGACATTGACCCTCTGACTATTTTTGAGGCTCATATTAAAGACTCTGTACAACCCCTTCAACACTGTGAAGACGGCCATCTTAAAGAGCGCACAAGAGATTTCAAAGTTTATACGTTTTTTGGACTCCAGAAATGATGAATGTCAGAGGAAACCCCAGAATGTACCCCATATTCCTCCTTTTATTTCTTGTCCCAAATCAATTTGGACCTGTGTTGTTGTTCACCACCCCTGTAATGAATGTAAAGATGTATAAAGAAGAAAATATTAACAATAAAATCTCCTGTGAATGCTGCTGTAGATCAGCAAATGTCAGGACCTACCCCAGTGTTTGCCACCCCCGGGGACAGCAACAAGCCATTTTAACCAAAAAAAGAAAAAGAACCAGTATGTCTGGGTCCTGACCTCCCAGGCCTAACTTCTTTCATGTCTGTTTGTGCCGCCACTGAAAACAAATGCAGGAATTCATGAAGTTCAGAGAATTCAGGGTGTTGGCCCGCCGTAGTCCGTACCAGGTGCGTCACCTAATCTGTCGAAGCGGGCTTCTAAAACCTAATCTGTGACTCACGGCTATTTTTATTTGATTACGTTTTTTTTAAAAATCGCATCGAGATGGAGCTCCTGTGAAGTAACGTTTTGGTTTTGCTTTTCTCTTTGTACATCTCTATTTTTGATACAAGACCCGCAGAGTGTTTTTTCTGTGTGTGTGCGTGTGTGTGTGTAGCTGCCGCAGGAAGGATGAGGCAGCAAGTTTGTAGACGTGCATCTGAAGCTCCTGTTCCCGCCTTCTTCGCTCATTTAACCCAAACACCATGATGACTGGAGTTGCAAACAAATTCGATGTTTGTCTTTAGCAAGAGAGCTTGAATGTAAAGTTCCCAAAAACATCTAGTTTTGTATAGAAAGAGGTACTTTAATTTGTTTTATTTTGACATTGTAACAAAAGGCTGTACATATTTTGTATATAAAGTATTATTGATATAAATATATATATTAAAGTAATAATAAAGCTTTTGGTCCTTCTGTGGAGTCTGTGTTTGACCGCCTGTTTGGCTTCAACGTGTTGCAGCCAGCCGCCCTGACAACTCCTCAGCACACCTCTTACATAACACTTACATAACCCATAAAGCTGCACAGTCTCTGTAAATCAATAGCACGTCTTAGATTACAGGCTGGGACCTGATTCTAAAGGCTTTCGGAGGAAATGATATTATGAGTAAGTTTTACTTCTTAAAAAGCCGACTATTGTGCATAACAGTCGCTTTTCACACCCGTAAAAAAGTGGAGATCTAACCCTGTTGAGAGACGGCCATTAAGTCTACCTCAGTGGAAAGAAATCCTCCCTGGTTGGGGTAGCTTGATATTTAATGATGACAAGTCTCCATTCATCTTAATTTCTTTCTCTTTTTTTGCGAGTGGTCTAGTTTTAAAAGTAAGCGTGGAAAATCAAAAGGTCCCTCCATCACGAGGTCCCTCCCATCGTGGCTCTCTGAGATGCGTGTTAGTTTTTTTTCTTCTCTTCCTAATCACAACAAAATCTTGTCACTCGAGCTGCAGAGCAGTGAGATGACCTCAGCTGCCTTCAGAACGTGTCTTCTCTTAGTGGTAGTTCCCACAAACCAAAACATGCGACGCGAGCGCCACCATGTGGAAGTTGGGCTTCACACTGCTTTTCCGTTTTCAAATCAGAGTTTTGGACATTGTGTGTGTTATAGGTTTCCGAGGCAGTCAGAAAAAGTTTTCAAGTTGCTTTTTGTCGGCGGGATAAATAAAAATGGGATGGAAATGTATTTATTTTTTGTTCTTCCAGTATCTCTTCCTCCTTCTATTTTCTAAAGCGCAAAAGTCTGTTTTCACGTTAATTTTGATTAATTTGACACACATTGATTTTAAGATTTTCACTATCACTATTTTGTTTTTGTCTTTCTTTTAACTTACTGACTAAATGCAGACCAGTAAATGAAAAACAACTTTGCCATTTTGCTTCCTGTTTATTCTCTTGACAACTTTGAAGGGATCTGTGATTCTTGAATTAAGTCTAAACTGCCAAATAAAGCAGTGAAGTAACTATGGCCGTCCATTTTTTATACCTGCTCATATGAATTCAAATCCACAACTTTCTTGTGACAAGGCAACACCAAACGGACCATTGTCCAGCCATAGTTGAATTTCCTATGATTTAATATTACAAACAAAATAAAGGTTCAAATATTCACAAACTTTTCTTTGACCTATCTCCATACTTATTTAAAATATCCCAGAGTTAAAAGGTTTATAAATACAGGTGATCTAATTTGGTGCAGCTGTTACAGAAGAGTAAATCTACAGCACAGACTAAAAATATGTATTCCTTTCTGTAAACTACAGATAAGACGAGAGAACTACTCAAACAGGTTTAGTGTTGATACGTTTAGCGCAACCGCGCGATGAAAAAAAAAAAAAAAAAAATGCTGAAAAATACCCAGAACTGGCGAGTCTGGAAAAGCATGGATTTCATAATGAAAATGTTGAGAGTAGCTAAAGTGGAATGAAAACATTCTACGCTAGCTACTCGTTTAGCTAAAGTAGCTACTTTAACGTAGGAAACTTTTAGTTGCTGCATATTTTTGTAAAGTTTGAGCTTTATTTCAGTCTTACTTTGATGTCTTTACATTTATTTTCTCAAAACCCGTTTTCCAGCTGCTTCAGGATATTTTTCAACCAAATCTCACAGTGATGCGATGCAGTGTTAGCTATATGTCGTGTTTAAAATTAGCTTCCAGAGAGCTAGACCGTACTGCAATCTTTTTCAGCTTTCTGGTGAACATTTTTTGTTATTTCTGACATATGTTTAAAGTTTTTGTCATTTAAAGACTCTACAACTTGTGTCTTCACCTTATCACTTTCTGCTCCATCTTTACCTCGGAATATGCTGCTTTCTTACAGCTGTCGGTGGTTGCTGCTTTAGATGTTAGACCCGTGACTTGGT